CAAATGTATTATGAGCTATGAATTGACTAAAATTCTGATAGCTTACAGCAGCACACACTACTTGGATTCATAGAAACAAGTCCGAAATTTTTGTCTTTCACTGCAGCAGTCTCCTGAGAATGACAGCTTTCCGTTTTTGAAGCTCCTTTTTGTGGTTTGTGAACTTGGCAGCTAAATCTTATTGAGAGTAGTGATTGTTGGAAGACAATTCTCCATGGGTCTCTTTTGTTTCCATACATTGTCTGAGCAAAGATATTGACCACATTTTTGGGGGACCGGCTTTTCAAAGATGTTTATATAGCGAACAGCTTTGGTCAAAATAGTGTCTCCTTCCAGAGGAAAAAGTAGTTTTTGTTTATTGTCCACCATAATAATGATGATGATGTTCTCTGGAGCAAAGATCAGACAGGCTTACTGCCCGTCATAAAAAATCTGGATTCCTAGGGCAGGCACAGTGGCTCACGCCTATAATCCTAGCACTCTGGGAGGCTGAGGCAGGAAGATTGCTCAAGGTTAGAAGTTCAAAACCAGCCTGAGCAAGAGCGAGAGGATTGTTTGAGCCCAGGAGTTTGAGGTTGCTGTGAGCTAGGCTGACACCACGGCACTCAAGCCCAGGCAACAGAGTGAGACTCTTTTAAAAAAAAAAAAAAAAAAAAATCTGGATTCCCAAAGACTAAGGTTCCTCTCCAGTAACGCAACCCAATGTGTGTGTCTCCTGGTCTTCTTTCTATCACATTTTAGGAACTGGGGCTTGGAGGCATGACATCAAAATGCTAATACTCTGGTAACTGTTATTTTTGTGAGTAATAAGCTGTCATTTTTCTCTGACCCATGAGCCTGCCTCTGCCAGCATTCATGAAGCTACATCCGGCTACCTGGTTAGCTTGCAAGGAGAGTGAATGTCACACCCTCCCCAGTTTGTGTTAACGAGAGCAATTTAACATAGATTGAGTTATCTGGGTACTCACTTTCAAAGAACAAAATCATATGCAAGATTTCTGTGTTCCTAACTATCTGGATTGGCCAGTCTAGCATTCTTGCCTGATTCTCCAAGAAATTTGCCATCTCCCTACTACAAAGCTCAGTTAAAACACTGGCTTTTCTTCCTTTTATTCACGATCCTCTCTCTGTCGTCTAGTGACAGAATTGAGCCACATTTCCATTCTGCTAGTCTTTCTATAAACAAACAGGATCTGGGGCACGGGTTTCTCACAGGGGTGGGGAGCCTGTGGTCTCAAGGCCACATGTTTAAATCCCCAACTGGGTCAGATCCCCAGCTGTGGCCCATCGACCGAATCCAAACTTCACAGAACAAATCCCTTTATTAAACGGATTTGTTCTGTAAAATTGGATTCAGTCCAAAGGCCACGCTGAAGGATCCAGAAAGCCATAAGTGGCCCCAAGGTAGCAGGTTCCCCACCACTTTCTGCCCTCTTTATTAGTTGTGTGTGTGTAAGAGCATTCAACATAAGATCTACCCTCTTAGCAAATTTTAAGTATGCAATGTAGTGTCATTTACTATAGGCACTATGCTGTACAGTAGCTCTCTAGGACTTATTCTGGTTGTGTAGCAGAAACTATGCTTTCTGACTAATACTTCCTTGTTTCTCCCTCCCTCCAACCCCCCGGCAACCATCATTCTACTCCCTGCTTTGGTAAGTTTGACTATTTTAGATTCCTCACACAAGTGTTATCATGTAGTATTTGCCCTTTTGTGTCTGGCTTATTTCGCTTAGTATAATGTCCTCTAGGTTTACCCATGTTGTCCCAAATGGCAAGATTTCCTTCTTTTCTAAGGTGACTAATATTCCATTCTATGTATATACCACATTTTCTTCATTCATTCTTCTGCCAACGGACACTTCGGCTGTTTCCGTATCTTGGCTATTGTAAATAATGCTGCATTGAACATGGGAGTGAAGAAATCTCTTGATTTGGGCTATATACCCAGAAATGGGATTACTGGATCATATGGTAGTTTCATTTTTAATTTTTTGAGGAACCTTTATACTGTTTTCCCTAGTGGCTGCACTAATCTTTATTCCCACCAACAGTGTTCAAGAGTTCCCTTTTCTTCATATCTTTGCCAACACTTCTGGGTTTTTTTTTCCTAAATAATAAACACCCTAACAGGTATGAAGTGATATCTCATGTGGTTTGATTTGCATTTCCCTGATGGCTAGGGATATTCAGCATCTTTTTACATGCTTTTTGGCCATTTGAGAAATGTCTATATAATTCTTTTGCATATTTTTAAATCAGGTTATTTCATTTTTTGGTGTTGAGTTGTGGGACTTCCTTATATAGGTTAGATATCAACCTTTTCTCAGATATGTGGTTTGTAAATATTACCTCCTATTCTGTAGATTGCCTTTTTTCTTCTTTTAGTATCTATAATTCAGTTTATATTTTCCCATTATAGCCAGTAAAATTCCAGTTCTAGTGGAATTTTGCAAAGTGATCCTAATTTTCACTCAGAAATGTTGGTTGGTAATAGGAGTCAACCAAATGTATTGGAAAAGATTTCACTATAGCATTAACAGAAAACGTAAATGATGGTCCTATGTAGTGTGGTATGAGTTTAACAGAACAAACAGAAAACAGAATAGTCAAGAAACACATTTAAATATGAATAATAGCAACAGTTGGGCCCTTTTTTTTTTTTTTAGTTAACACATAATAATTGTTAAGGGATATATAAATTGCCTTTGCATTTTGTTGATTATTTCCCTTGCTATGCAGAAGGCATTTAGTTTGATTTAATCCCACTTGTCTATTTTGCTTTTGTTACCTATGCCTTTGATGTCATATCCAAGAAATTATTGCCAAGACCAATGTCATGAAGCTTTTTTCCTGTTTTCTTCTAGAATTACGTAGTTTCAGGTATTATGTTTAGGTCTTTAAGACAACTTAGATCTTTGTTCATGGTGTAAGATAAGATCCAATTTCATTTTTTTGCATATGAATATCCAGTTTTCCTTTATATTAAAGAGACCATCCTTTCCCCATTGTGTATTCTTAGCACCTTTGTAGAAGATTGGTTGATTGTATATGAATAGATTTATTTCTGGGCTCTGTATTCTGCTCCTTTGGTCTATATGTCTGTTTTTGTGCTCATACCATACTGTTTTGATTTCTGCAGTTTTTTAATATATTTTGAAACCAGGGTGTTTTTTTCTTGTTAGTTAGTTAGTTTGTTTGTTTGTTTGTTTGTTTGTTTTGGTTCAGTGTGAATTTTAGGAATGTTTTTCATTCTTTAAAAAAAAGTCATTGGGATTTTCATACAAATTGCATTGCATCTGTAGATTGCCCTGGGTAGTAGTATGGACATATTAGTATAACATGGAATGTATTACATTTATTTGCCTATTTTTACATTTATTTTAATGTTTTATAGCCTTGGCGTACAACTTTTTCACATTCCATGGTTAAGTTTATTCCTAAGTATTTTATTCCTTTTGATATTAACATAAATGAGATTTTTTTTTATTTCTTGTTTGAATAGTTTTGCACATTGATTTTGTATCTTGCAACTTTACTGAATTTATTAGTTTTAATTGTTTTTTGGCAAAATCTTTAGGGTTTTCTACACATCAGATCATGCCACCTCTAAAAGGAGATGATTTTACTTCTGCCTTTACAATCTGAATGCCTTTTATTTCGTTTTCTTAATTGCTCTGACTAGAACTTCCAGTTCTATGTTCCAAATCTTAGAGGAAAGTCTTACAGTTTTTTATCATTAAATATGGTGTTGGCTATGGGCTTTTCATATATGGCCTTTATTGTGTTAAGGTAATTTGTTGAGAGCTATTATCATGGAAGTGTGTTAAATTTCATCAAATTCTGTATTTTTAAGATTATCATGGGTTTTTTCCTCTTTCTTTCTGTTAATGTGGTATATCACATTGATTGATTTTTGTACATTCAACCATCCTTGCATGTCAGGGATAGATACCATTTGGGCATGGTGTGTGATCCTTTTAAAGTGCTGTTGAATTTGATTTGCTAGTATTTTGTTGAGGAATATTTCATCTATTTCCATCAGAAACACTTGCCTATAGTTTTCATTTTTTGTGGTGTCTTTGTCCAGCTTTATTATCAGGGTGATGCTGACCTTATAAAATAAGATTGAAAGTGTTCCCTCTTCTATTTTTTGGAAATATTTAAAGAGGGTTGGTATTAATTCTTTAAATCTTTGGTAGAATTCATCTATGAAACCATTTGGTCCTGGGCTTTCCTTTGTTGAGAGGTTTTTGATTACTGATTCAGTCTCCTTATTTGTTATTGGTCTGCTCAAGCTTTCCAGTTCTTCTTGATTCAGCCTTGACAGATTGTATATTTCTAGGAATATATGGAGATATTTTTGCAGGTTGTCCAGTTTTTTGGTATATGATTGTTCATAATAATTCCTATGATCTTTTTTATTTCTGTGGGATCAGTTGTAATGTCTTCTCTTTCACTTCTGATTTTATTTATTTGAGCTTTCTTTCTTTCTTTCTTAGTCTTGCTAAGAGTTTGTCAGTTTTGTTTGTCCTTTCAAAAATCAAAACTTAGTTGCACAATTTCTTCTTCTATTATTTTTTATTTTCTATTTTATTTCTGTGTTAATCTTTATTATTTCCTCCCCTCTGCTAACTTTGGGCTTAGTTATATATAAATCACTGATTACCAATCCATTTACCATTTCATCATTTATATTATTTTGATCTAATTATACAATCAATCTTAGATTTGATGTGAGCATTCCTTATGCTCAGGAAATTATTCTAAACTAATAGTCTCATATTATTTTAAATTTTATCTACAACTAATTTTGCCTCCTACTTCAATTTTCTCCATCTTGATTGTAAATATAATTAGCATAATTAATTGCTTTTATTCATAAGAGACTAGTTTTTCATATTTTTTGTACAAAAACATTCTAGAAGCTATTAACATTTACTTATATTGAATCAAGTCTTTCCTAAGGTAGGAGAGGCAGGGGGCAGATATCATCTTACCTTGAAAATATGTTTCACATGAATACTATTGCACTGAACATCTAATTTTTCAAGTAATTTCTGAGTTTTTTCTAGATTAATTTTTCCACCTCTAAATTCATCCTGAATCTTCGACCAAAACCATGTATGAAGAACAAAAAAGTTAAGGAAATTCCCACTGAGTCACTGAAAAGTCATTGAGTATTTAAAGTTCCTAAATAAATATTTGCTCTTCCTTCAGTTTACTGTACTTATTTTTATTTTTAAAGAATAATCTGTCTTGCACTTAAAGTAAATGACAACATAATTATATGATAAATAATATTTAAAACAAACAAATTAAGTAGTTACTATGCTATAGTTAAGGCATGAAAAAGGTCGTAGCACACTAAAAATACAAAAATAAAAATAAAAATTTGAGAAATAAAGTTATTACTTGGGAAATATGTTAAAACATTACTACAGTCTATTGCCTGAAGGCATGAACTTTGGAGACAGCTGGTCTTCAAGATCATCATCTCACTTGATCTCTCTCAGCTTTAGTTCACTTGTCCAGAAATGTGGGTAAACTAATTCTTAATCTTAAAGAAAGTGGAAACATTTAATGAGTTCATAACATGTCACTGAACATAGTTTCTGCTACTGAGTATTCAATAAAATAGTAACCATGGAGCACTTCTAACATGACACCTGTTACTCATGTTGTTTGTGGTCTGTCTCCACCGCTAGACTGAAAGTTCCAGGAGCGTGGGGAGCCTGTGGCTGTGCCCCCACCTCAGGGCCTAGAACAGAGCCTGGCACACAGCGGGGCTCGGCTAAGACCCACCAACCACAGCACTCCTGCCCAGGAAAGCGACGTTTCGTCGCGACAGGACAGGACGTCCTGCGCTAGTTGGAGGCCAGGCCTTGAGCAGAGCCAGACTCACTGGAACAAATGTCAAGAATGTCAAAAAACAAAAGATTCAGGTGTTGCCTCCGAGGGGTCTCAGAGACCCCCAACAACCCAAGGGAAGATAGGCCCAATACTGCCCTGAAGCAAAAGCTCTAGACCACCGAAAATTTACAGATTTTTTCAAGAGGGACCCTCCCCCACCCCGCTGAGATCCGGATAAAATCTTCCCCATCTTCACCCTGGTTGTCAAGGGTGAGTAGAATGAAAGAAAGAAAGACAGAGAGAGAGAAGGAAAGGGAAGGGAAGGGAAGGGAAGGAGAAAAGGAAGGGAGGGGAGGGAGGAGGGGAGGGGAGGGAGGGAGGAGGAGGGGAGGGGAGGGGAGGGAGAGTGGAGGGAAGGGAAGGGAAGGGAAGGGAAAGAAGGGGAAGGGGAAAGGGAAGGGGGAAAAGGGAAATATATAAAGTTTAAAAATGAGAATAAAACTGCTTTTTAAATCTTCAAAAAAAAAAATAGTAACCATGACTGTTATAATTATTATTACTACATTAGTCAAATATCCAGCTACACACACACCCCCAAAAAGCAACATTTTAAGTACCATAGAAAGAGGGTTAAAAATATCACAGTAAATATATATTTGGTATGAGAGAGAAAACTAAAACAAACAAACTTACTCATTATATACAAACTATAGAAATCAGGACACTACAATTTGAAAAACTAAGGATGAATGAAGTAATGACAATCTATAAAATCATGAAAGGTACAGGTAAAAATTGTTCAAAACTCTGCTCAGTTTCAGGTTGTTAGAACTAATGAGAAGCCCTACAATTTAATGGCTGTGACTTAATAAGGCAAAGTTCATGTTCTTATAAGAAAAAGATACTGGAATCCAGGGAAACTCAGAAAAGCTCAGGACAGATGTGGAAGAAGCAGTTCAACCTTAAATGAGAGGGACTTACATTCAGGACTCTTCAAAAAGAATAAGAGAGTCAAACAAAGAGGATAAATCCAGAGAAAGATGAGGAAAGAGGAACAGAAAGAACCTCTGAATGGATATTTCGTTTCCACACTTCCAGGACTTGATGTGCTGATTCTCCTGTCTTTGAAGTCTCTCCCCATTAGGTGTTGTCACAGGTTCCAAATACAATTAACTCTGCCCCTTTGAGGAAAAGAATCTCTTGATATTCATTGGCTGTTGCCACTGTCACCACTTTTCTAGGGATAAAGCAGAGAACACACAGTGGTTTGTTGCCTTTGTTCTTTGAAGCGAGCTCACGCTTAAATCCCACAAAAACAGAATGCAAGATATGGTCCCTGAAACTTTTTGGCTTCTTGCTTATGCTCTGACCATCTCCAAACCCATGATGTGTAGAATTTGTAGCTTTTCTTGCTATTCTGGCATTTTTCTATGACCTTCCGTTGTATCTCGTTTTATTTTTCCTGTGTTGTTTAAACCCCTCAAACCTTTTATCAGAATGTGCTTCCAGTGGGTTTGAGCAGCTCCTCTGAGAGCTGAGGTACAAATCAAAGCCACTGTGATTCCTGACAGTGAGAAATGCTGTCAAACACTCTCTAGAAACTCTGGCCTGCTTCCCTAGATTCCTGACAACACAAAATGCACACACAGAGACACACCACTTTTGAAGAAGGCTGTTCAGGAGCCTAAGTTCTTAAAATCTTCAAAATTAGGTATAGCTGGTTGGCTGGGCACCACGCTGTCAGGTGACTGTCATTTTTTCCTTTCGGTCTGCGCATCCATTGTGATGTCATCAAAAGTTCCACACTTCATAGAGGAAGCGTCTTTATGACTTCATCAGGAGACTCAGAGCTTGTCAGACTACCTGCCTTCATGGTCGAACATAATAATCTTAAGCTTGAATGTTTAACACCTTGATGGGAAAGGTGTCTCATGGAATGTTTTCTCATCCTTTGAATACTCTTCATTTCAGAAGCTTTGCTTCTGCCGCAACCAAACATGTCACTTAGTTTGCTAAGCAGGAAGGAGAAAGAAAGAGTAATTCGCAGACTGTTAATACAGGCTCCTCCAGGGGAATTTGTAAACGCCTTTGATGATCTCTGTCTGCTTATCCGTGATGAAAAACTTATGCACCATCAAGGTGAGTGTGCAGGCCACCAACACTGCCAAAAATATTCTGTGCCACTCCGCATCGATGGAAATCCAGTACTCTTGTCTCACCACAATGTAATGGGTAACTACCGGTTTTTTGACTATCAGAGCAAACTTTCTTTCAAATTTGACCTGCTTCAAAATCAGTTAAGAGACATCCAAAGTCACGGTATCATTCGGAATGAGACAGAATACCTGAGAACTGTTGTTCTGTGTGCCTTAAAACTGTATGTGAGTGATCACTACCCAGCAGGAAATTGCAACGTGCTGAGAAAAACTATCAAAAATAGGGAGTTCTTGATAGCTTGCATTGAGGATCACAACTATGAATCAGGACAATGCTGGAATGGTCTTTGGAAATCTAAATGGATTTTCCAGGTGAACCCTTTTCTAACGTTAGTGACTGGAAGAATTTTTGTGCAAGCTCACTTCTTCAGGTGTGTCAACCTTCATGTTGAAATCTCCAAGGATGTGAAAGAAAGCTTGGAAATAGTCAACCAAGCTCAGCTGGCTCTAAGTTTTGCAAGGCTTGTGGAAGACCAAGAGAATAAATTTCAAGCTGCGGTCCTAGAAGAACTACAGGAGCTATCAAACGAAGCCCTGAGAAAAATTCTACGAAGGGATCTTCCAGTGACCCGCACTCTTATTGACTGGCAGAGGATACTCTCTGACTTGAATCTGGTGATGTATCCTAAATTAGGATATGTCATTTATTCAAGAAGTGTGTTGTGCAACTGGATAATATAAAGGACTGCTCCTGGTAATTGTCTCGATTTGACTTGGTCATATTTCTGGAGAATAATTATTAACATTTTCCTAAAGGTGAGCAGCCCCTGGAGATGCCTATCACTCAGTCAATGCAGTTTTAAATAAGAAAATGTGTAACAACTAATTTTACTCAGGGAATATTTAGCAATAAGGCAAGAAAGAGTAGAGTGAATGTATTTCATAGCGGTGACCATCAAAAATCAGAGACATTTGTTAAAATCTACAATAGTTTTATAGAAGATGACACTCCAGAAATATTATAGAGGTGGCCAGGGGTAAAGCTATGTGAGTGTGTATGTATGTGTGTATTTAGGAATGACTTTTTACTTTCTTTTGAACTGAAAAGGATGTTACTCCACACGTGATATTTCATATAATTTAATTCAGTCTTAGATCAACCCTGAGAGGATGGATTTCAATAAATGACATTAAGTTTGGATGGATATTACACAAAACCAACAGATATCAAAACTCTAGCTCAGAAGAAGGACTATTAGTTAACTTGGCCTCACTGCCACTCTACTACCCAACTTCCAAGAATTTAGGATTATTCCAGATCCCTGGGCATGTCTGATAACTGACGCAGTCTTCCAAGTCAACCAGAAAAGCCCAACCGTCCAATCCTTTACAGTTGAGCTCTTATAAAGTTATCACTATAAACACTTGTAAGTGCTAACTTCATAACATGGGTTTTGCTAAATGTTTTGTTTACAGTTTTTCAGCATTAGTCTGGTACTATTTCCATTTTACAAAAAAAGAACCTAAGATTTCAAGTTGTTTAAGTCATCCAGTCAAAAAGTGTTTTAATCTGTTTGGGCTGCTATAACAAAATACCATAGTCTGTGTTGCTTGTAAACAACAGAACTTTATTGCTCACAGTTCTGAAGGCTGGGAAGTCCAAGATCAAGGCACAGGCAGATTCAGTGTCTGGTGAAGGCCTGTTTCTTCATAGTTGGTACCTTCTAGCTGTAACCTCACCTAGTGGAAGAAGCAAGTCAGCCCTCTGGGACCTCTTTTATAAGAGCACTAATTTCATTCATGAGGACTAAGACCTTATGACATCATCACCTCCCAAAGTCCCTACCTCTTAATGCCTTAACTTTGGGGATTAGATTTCAACATATGAATTTAGGGGGGACACAAACAGTCAGACACAGACCATAGCACATGGTGACAGGTGTACCTGAGTCTAGTGTTCTAGGATATCAGGGGTCTTCATCAAGGCCTGTTTCATTAAGAGATATGAACTCTGGTGTACGTGAATTTAGACAAGCATTCCATGGTCCCCAACCGCTGGGCCATGGATCAGCAGCTTGTTAGGCACCAGCCACAGAGCTCTGTGCCCCACTCCCCTACCCTGCCCAGTCCCTGTTCTTGGAAAAATTGTCTTCCATGAAACTTAGGGAGTGGGACAGTTTCCCACACAGCAAAATGAGGAGAGGGCCAATGATCAAAACTTCAGCTTCACCGCTCCCCATTGCTTGCATCAACCCCTGAGTTCTGCCTCCCCACCTCCAACCCTGGTCCATAGAAAAATTGTGTTCCATGAAACCGCTCCCTGGTGCCAAAAAGGTTGGGGACTACCAACCTATAGGATATCCCAGAAGGAATGGCACTGATGACTGTTGTTTTCTAGCCCAAACAAACCACCTACAGTCACCCTATCACTATTCCCAGCAATGTTACTGACCACTTATGTCTGCTGTTTCTCTGAATTCCAAATTTAAACCTTTTAATTAGATTACAGTAGAGAAGTAGGTAGGCCCCATTCTCCAATTCTGATTTATCTGGGAAGCAAAGTACTTTGTATTTTGTATTTATGCAATAGAAAAAAAATTTAATTCTACTTAACAAACATTGGTAAGGACGAGATCTTATGCAAGAATTTCTAAACTTCAAACTTATCTTCCCCAACTGGTGGTTCTTAGAGAATCTCAGAAGAATTACTAGGAGTTCATCTTTAAAAATACAAATTACTCGGGTCCATCCTCAGATTCTGATTTAGTAGGTTGGGAAATCTACATTTTTAACAAATATCAGAGATGACTCTGATGCAAAGTATCTCAGGACCACATTTTAAGAAATAATGCCCTACCTTAAAATAACATGTGTTTTCCTTTTTATTTACTTAATCGAAATCGTTTCCTGCAAAACCATTGCCCAGTGAGGGCCATTCCTACTACTTCACTGGATTTACTATGCACAGACCAAGGACAGGTCTTTATCTGTCATGCAAGAAAGGTAAGAAAAAACTTTCTAAAGAAAAGCAGAAAAAAATTGCTTTCATAACACTAAAATACAGTCATCTAGTGAATCTGTTAGCAAAAATTTGAATTGATATAGTTATATGTGTAAGTGTTGATTTTCCATATCCTTCCAGAATAAGACTCAATGGTTTGTTTATGGGACAGTTACAGAGGCATTTGGCTTCTGCTTGAACACAGGGTTTTTTTAAATAATATTTATTGATATCTCTGAATATAAAAGTCACATGTACAAATTGTGGAAAATGCTTAAAGTACAAGCATTTTAGCCTATTTTCTTTCATCCAATTTTATGGAATTGCTTTAAATATTAAGGATATATGGGATATAAAAATTTGTGTTTTTTAATATAATGCATATATCATAAACAGTGCCCCACATCATTAAAAACTCCTTTAGCACATAATTTTAATTATTTATGTGATAGTCATACTGTAGATACAGCATAACAAGACAACCATTTATCTATTTATATATAATTTAAAAGTTTTGCATTTGTTATTAATTATGCTAAAATGAACATATATTTATCTACATTGTAGATTATTTCCTTTGAGATAAACTCCTTAAAATTGCATATTGAAAGATATGAACATATTAACGTTCTTAATACATATTGCCAAATTGCTTTCCAGAAAGACTTTAACAAATGTACAATCCCATTAGTAGCATTAAGAGAATATCTAGCTCACCACAATAATCTTGACAATATCATATGTATATATATATTTTTTTTTGAGACAGAGTCTCGCTTTGTTGCCCAGGCTAGAGCGAGTGCCATGGCGTCAGCAACCTCAAACTCCCAGGCTCAAGCGATACTACTGCCTCAGCCTCCCGAGTAGCTGGGACTACAGGCATGTGCCACTATGCCCGGCTAAGTTTTTCTATATATATTAGTTGCCCAATTAATTTCTTTCTGTTTATAGTAGAGATGGGGTCTCGCTCTTGCTCAGGCTGGTTTCGAACTCCTGACCTCAAGCAATCCACCCGCTCGGCCTCCCAGAGTGCTAGGATTACAGGCATGAGCCACCGCGCCCGGCCTTGACAATATTAAATATCAAATTTTTTGATATGCAACAGACAAACCTTAAAATAATACAAAAAGAAAGAAAGGTTTTTCATTAACTTATGCCACACTCTATCAAGAGCATTTCCACAAGAATATTATTTGGTAGTTATTTTCCATGAATGGAAACTGGCATAGCCAGGAAAATGCATAGTTACTACATGTTCCCTTTATCTATTTCTCTCTCCCTCTCTCTCTCTCTCTCTCTCTCTCTCTCTCTGACTCTCACACACACTCTTAGAACTACACTATGAATACATACACCACACATATCTGCACATATATACACACATATATACATGCATATACACACATATCCAGGTATATATACACATACATACAAAATATTTCAGATCTTAAAAAGATAGTCTGGTATGAAGATAAGGTTGCTTTTTAAAATATTCTGGTGTTCTCTCCCTGCATTCCCACTCCCAACTGGAATGTAACCTCCATGAAAATGAGGGCTCTGTCTGTCCCAACTATCTTGCCCATTATTGTGTATCATATGGCAGGTACTCAAGTGAATGAATGAACGATGACCAAGGATAACAAAGGTAGAAAGCATGTGGTAGGTTTAACGTTAAGATTTTGTGACCCACCAATATCTGCTGTCCCTTAGGAAGCATGCATTCCAAATTTCCAGTTCAGACACTGTCACCCCTTTATTCCAAGGTGGATGATTCCATTCTGAAGCTACCACGGGCCTTCTCCTGCTCTAATGAAAACTTTTGCTCTTTCCTGACCCCAAAGGGAGAGAGATTTCTCCTTTAATAAGTTTAAGATTATCAAGTGCAAGTCATATATTTGTTTCAATTTTACACAATTCTCTTTTTTCTTTTCTTTTTTTTTTTCTTTTCTTTTTTTTAGACAGAGTCTTACTCTGTTGCCCGGGCTAGAGTGCGATGACATCAGCCTAGCTCACAGCAACCTCAAACTCCTGGACTCAAGCGATCCTCCTGCCTCAGCCTCCTGAGTGGATGGGACTACAGGCATGTGCCACCATGCACAGCTAATTTTTTCTATATATTTTTAGTTGGCCAATTAGTTTCTTTCTATTTTTAGTAGAGATGCAGTCTCACTCTCACTCAGGCTGGTTTCGAACTCCTGACCTTGAGCAATCCTCCCGCCTTGGCCTCCCAGAGTGCTAGGATTACAGGCGTGGGCCACCGCGCCTGGCCCTCAATTTTACACAATTCCCTGTCAAAGATTTCCTCCCCTTCCACTTGGGGTCTGGTTCTGAGTATGACCACATCACGTGCTATTCAAGCAGAGGTCCATGAGGGGCATTATGTCCTTCAGTACCCCTACGGTGTTGTCAGGGTGAGTCCCTGATGCTCTGGAGCATGTCCTAGCTTCCTGTTTGCCTTGAGGTTCAAGCAGGCTTCGTCTTTCCTTCTTTGTGTGAACCTTTATCACAACGACTCCTTTCTACATATCATGCATTTCTGGAAATAATTAAATAGAGCTCCTATTCAACTCTATGGATGCTCCAAAGTTTATAAAGGCCTTCCCCATAGTTGATTAAATTATAGTGAATCAATGTGAAAAGTGATTTCAGTTCGCTGCCACTCAGCCGAATTTTGGCCATGTTATTGGTTTATCTTACCTTCTCCTCAATATTCTCAGCACGATATACCTCTTAGATTCTGGCCCTTTGACTAGGACAACTGCAGCA